TTCCTGATAAATCACATGTAATATTGTTTATGCATATTTTATTTCAATTTTGTTATATCTTCAATTTACAAATTAGACAAAGTACAAGGTGAAAAGTTTTACTCAAAGAAATTCTACGAATGTACTATACGTACGTACAATAAGTAAACGAAGGTCTATCTGATAGAATTTAAATGATGCTGATTAATGTAACTAATTACTTGATAATAACTAGCACATATTCATGATATGCTATAAAAAAAAATATTATATAAATATTATAAGGTTTAACTAATAAGACACATGAGCGATGAACATAAAGTTTACTATATTTTTAGCATGTATATTTAAAATAAAGCTTCATAACAAATGCATATACCAAATTATGAAATCAAAAGTCGATTTAACTTATTGAATCTTATAAATACAGTCCGAATACAATAAAAAAGATTTGTGGCATACTCAGAATGATCTGAATAATTAGATGAGCTTATACAATTTTAGTCTAAAAGGAAATGTGGCGGATCACGAGTAAGATTACATTATTGATGGAATATTTAATATTAAGCATTGTTATTGGAATGGGATTTGAATAACCACCATAATGCAGTAAAACTACTGCAAGGCTGTAGAACCACTACTATAAGAGCACTATAATATGAAAGACCATTGTAAGGATGTTGTAGGACCAATACAATACTGTAAGACTGTCATAGAGCCACAAAAACACCAAAAAAATATTAGATTGGTAGTGACAAAGATAACAAAACAAACAGTAATACAAATATGCACTATAATTCATATGCACGAAATAATAAATTATTATTATAGTTATAAATCTTTGAATCAAAATCATATAATAATTTCTATATGCATTTTAAAATTTTAGGTAGCCTGCATCGCATTATGCTGCATTATGTAGCATGCAACATTGAATGTATAATGCATTTGGCACATCTCTACTCATATCTAACTCCCTTTAAGCAACTCAAGCGCCTAGTTATTATAAAATAAAATATTTTCTATATTTAAACCACAAGATAGATTAAACATTGTAACCACAATAGAAAAATACTCTACATTATTCGAAATAAAGATATGATCTAAAATCTGAAATAAAATACCAAACCAAATTTACATTTATGAAATTAACAAATTTGTTCAAAAAGAAACAGAAATCACACAATCAAGATAAGAAAATTGAAACCAGGATAATATGTTGAAGATCAATAACACAATCAACAGCAATAATCAAATATCTATTCGATAAATATTGTCATCATACAATGGGCTGATAAAAAAAAAAAAAAAAAAGAAAAGCATTTTAATTTATTCAAGTTGACAGTAGGTCAACCGATCGAAAAGACAGCTAAGCAGTGATGATCACATGGGTAATCCCGGTTCTAACAAGAGAATCCAGTATATGCCAGGAGGAAAATAAGTATAAATTTAACAAAATTACTAATTTAGCAGGAAATGTATAACAATAACATACAGATATAAAACAGAGCAGTAGGGCAGTACAATAGTAGCCCTTTCAAGAAGCAAATCAATTTTACACCCTGCTTTACTCTCTCAGTAAAATCCTGCCATTTTGTGGCAGATTAAACATCTCTTTAAAGCCTGCCTGCGTTATGCAAGTGGGAAACCACTGGCTAAGATCATGTGACCACAAAGCTTCTGGCTAACAGCCGGCCTGCATTTATGCGGGTGAGAAACCACCGGCCAATGCCAATTATACATCAAACGAACTGATGTATGCTATATATCTCTTTCAATTACACATCAAACACACTGATGTATGCTATCTATCTCTTAGACTATACACCAAACGTATTGATATATGCTATAACTCTTTAATAAAGTTTGAATATCAGCTCTGGAACAATTATATCACACGCGTGCACTATTTTAGAAATACCCGGTAAAATTTATCCGGCCAAGTATAACTAACTCTGTGAAATTTTCAATATAACTCCGTTCCTATCTTTTTTATCTTTGTGTTTTATTATTTTTTTTTATTCATTTTATTTTTTTATTTTTAATTAGTTATCATACTGTATTTGTCAAATACTATTATAATAAAATTGTTCTTCTGATTGATGAAAATCATAAATACGAATAAATAATACTTCGGGCTTCATTTTATAATTTATTATTTACTTGATTTAGCTTTTAAAAGAAAATGACATTTCTGATGTATAGTCCCATATAATACGTATATATCACTGATCATATTTTTCACGAGCTGAATTTGATAAGTATCTAATAAACTTGGAAGTCCAAAGTTTCATTTTCTTTTGGTAGTGCACAAATTATTCTACAAATTTTGGGTTCATTATTTTGTTTTTATGTTCAATTAGTTATCATTTTTGTCAAATTACCGTAATTTGCGGCATTCCTAAACCTTAAAAATTGACTAGTACCCGGGACCGTCAATTGATTATATAATTTGACTAAATTGACTCTTAATTGGCGGTGGGTGAGTACTTTAACGAGGGGTACAATTTGCCAAAAATTATGTATTATGCATTACATACTATATCGTTCATTCATCATTTATCTATCAACACCATCAATAGTTATTCCTACATACAGGATCTTAATTGATCTTCTGATGAACTATAATCCCATGTTATTTTGTTAGCAAAATCCCAATATGGTATGATACGATATACGGAGTATGAAAATACAATAAATAATCTTGATAACATACTGTAACTAATACATTATAATAAGATTTAATCGTAATATTTGAAATTTTCCTAATTCGTTAAACTTAAGGTGCAGCAATAAAAAAAAACATTAGAAATTTGAGCTATTCTCAGTTCGCTAAAACTATTCGATGTTTTTACTAGGATTACAATCTTAATCAATTTGATTTAAATATAAACAACTTAAGAAATCGATTATAAACAAGTGACTTTAATTATGCAGACATTGACATCCGCTTATTCAATGATTATTTTGGATTTCTCTTTTATCATTTATTAGCAATATTATAAAATTGATTAAATATATTATCTAGCCAACAAGAATATATTATATAAAACACAATTATTGTATACTATATATGACATTTAATTTGAATCCTGTTTGAATTAAGTAGAGTGGGCAGTAAAACTATAATTATTTTACCCTTGATGCTAATATTAAATTGTGCAGCATATGTACTATTATTATAATAGTACATAGTATAAAAATGTGGCACATAGTGACATGTGTGGAGTTAGTTTAATTTAAGACAAATGAGAATCAATTTGTAATCGTTAAAATAGTTAAAATATGTTGGTAATTCGAAATAAATTAAGAACTCATCTTATTTCATATGAGCTAAATGATTGGTAAAAATATACAATACGCTGTGATAGACAATAATTTTATTGTAGAAAGAAAATTATAATAATATATATCATTCATTCATCCGTTTCTAGCTTAGCGACAGTTTCAAAGTTAAAATGCGGAAATCCAATTTTAATTGAAATTGATGACGTATTTATTTTGAAATAAGTGATCCGGCAATCTGATCTTATCTTCAACTTGAATGAAAGTTTTACTTTTTATTTATTTATTTTTTACGAAGTATTATAAAAATTTTCCGATTTCATGAAATGGGGATCTCCAAACACTCCCATTTCACTTTCCGATTTTAAAATCTTGAAAAACAAATAAGATTTTTCAAACTCTCATTTAATTTCAAAATGCGCCACTTATTTGTTAACTTTGAAACCCCTTATTGCAAAATTCTGATACTACCAAATTCTGATATTACAAAATATTCGATACTACAAAAATTCTGACAATATATAAATATCAATCCGGGTATTTTTATATCCGGATTGAAGTGGGATCTTTGCTAGGAAAATCACCCTTCGGGATTTTCCGATCGGGTTAATTCGGAAGCTCGGAATGTCGGTTCCTATTCATATGTAAATCACCTTTTGCTTTATTGATTCGATATTTTATAAATAAACTGTCGAATCGATTAAGTAAAAAGATGATTACGTATGAATAAGAACCGTTTAAGCCTTTTCAAATTAGCCCGATCGGAAACCTGGGTGATTTTCCTAGCAGGCCGTTGATGTTACACGACTGATGATTCACCCGATGTGCAACATATAAAAAAAAAAATTATTTGATCATCCCGCTAGTACGTGTTCTAATTACCATTTTTACGTATTATAATAAAAATGGTGTTGGATTATAATCATAACATGTACTAGCGGAATGATCTGGTATTGTAAAATAATTTTTTTATATGTTGCACACCGTGTGAAGCATCAGTCTTGTAACGTCAATGGTCTCTCCTGTTGCAAATTAACTCTATTCTCAATGGAGAAAAATTATATTACGGTGTTAATGTAGAACGTTTCCGCGTTGCACCCCTATGTGGTTTGTGCTCTATCTTGCCGATACTTTTACATAACAATAAATAGATTATTTTATTTTTCGTAGTAATTCATCTATCTTATGATAAGCTTGTGATAGTTCTTCATAAGATGAGTAGCGCTGGAATGATGTAATATTGGTTTAAAATGTGTTTTTGATGCGTATCATAATAAGAAAACATGTATTTATAGGGTCGCCCATAGAATAACTTTCAAATTTCAACATTTGGTTTACTCGATTTCTCATTTTTGAAATTTATTAGTATTAGTAGTTTGAATTGTTTATTATTTTTCTTTATTTCTTCATCTATTTATAGATCTCGCATATTATTTATTTACTTATCATTTATTTATTTACATTTGCTATATTCAGTTTCTTTATCTCTTATCTACGAATCATAGATTGTATTATTTCTATCTCGCATTTACTCAAAGTGCACTGCGCGTACATACCAATTGTTTATCATAACCCAATCCGCCTGTTTTGTTATTGTTAACTCCTACTATAATTACCCTCGATTTGTTAGACTCCTGAATTGTCTTATTGCATATCATTAAACTCTACAGCGCATAATTATTATATCTTACGAAAGCATTATCAAAGATAAATTTTTAAGTCTAGTACTAATAATTATGAAATATCAAATCTTTTTATTTTTTGTCACTATATTCATTGGTATCTACATAGAATTTGTTCCAGTAATTGAAGGTAAAGCTCTTGAATATATATTTATTGAATCTCTGATTTTTTACCCTAATAACTCAATTTATTGGTTTGATACAGCATGGCAATCTAGAGTAATTTTTAGAACGAGTATGGCCTCGTGTAGAGCCTGGGCAGAAGATGTCTATACTAATCGCATAGCTGGTGATCCACCAAGCCACTATCATGATTGCGATAAAACAGTTACTGATATTGGTACTGGAAGTTTTGACAATTACACGATTGTTATTAAAGGTCTAGGAGGCCCTGATGGTAGATTTTCTATTTTCTTTAATTATGATACCTGTATATGTGTAAGAGATAATGGGTTTGAAAAAATTAAATTTTGGGTAATGTATCACGCTGATATTGCGCATTGTTATCCGGATGATTGTTATAAAGCGAGTGTACCTGAAGGCCTTCAAGGTGGATTATTAAAATTTTAGGCTTAGGTGTAAAGAAGAGAGGAATAATTTAAACAAACATAATAAATAAATATGATATAGTTGTCACCCCTATGGTCACCTTCTATATGATCACAACTTCTATACAATCTGTACACTATCACACTTTTTTGTACCCTTTTTAATAATTTATTAATTCAAATAAAAAAAAATTTTTATTTAATTTAATTAAGTAGTTGCTGAAATATTATTAATTAAAGTTTTGTTAAAAATTTTAATATTACTTCTATTTTGACAATGTTTTAAAATTCTTTAAAACTTCAATTAAAGATATTTTAACAATTACTTGATCAAGTTGAATAATTTTTTTTTGTTTTTTTTTTAATTTTAAGGTGACCTCTTGGCTAATAACTTTTTGTAAAATTTATAGAAAATATTACAATTGTAATAAAAATACAACTAGCCACATATATATTTTGGGTGTCTAATTTGAGTAATTTGTTTAAATGTTCACACTATTTGCCTATATCTGCAACCAAACTATGAGGTTATTATTTAACTTTCTGGTCACAAATGCTACTATACTCTACATCTAACCAAGACACAACCACATTATTTATAAACATAAATTTATGCAGCATCTATAAATTTTATAGCCAACTTAGAACTAATTATTTATTCTTAAAAAAAATTAATAATGCATTACATGTTTTATACATGTTTACTACTTATATATTAAGTAATTTCTTTCTAATTAGTACATATTGTACTGCTACTGCTGTGTTTGTATTTCAAACTATTCTGCTATAACACAGTTCATATCTCAAATCACAATTTTCCTTATTAGTCTTCTATTACTTACTTCTACTTTTATTAGATTCACAGATCTAGTACCTGCATTTAGTTACTTTCATATTCTATAGTTTAGTCAGAAATTTTACTAAATTAGAATATCACATTCTAGAATGATTTCTGTATTATTCCATGAATTTGATTGGCTATGTAACATTTTTATCACTGTGGGATTATTTGCTATTTTATTTATTTATTTGATTTTTTTTTTTTTTTTTTTTAATATTTAAAGTAAAACTATGCTCTTATCTTTATTAATCTTAATAAAAACCTTTTACAAAATTGAAAAAGGTTTTATATTTTAAGTCTATTACTAAGAATAAAAACTCAGATATATAACCAAGAGCCTAAGCTAGATATATTTGGAAACTTATCTGTAGCCTAAACCTATTAGAGTGGCCAAGACTCACCTATATTTGAGGTAAGTTAAGTATTTGGAATAGGTGTGTACAATTATTAATCTAGTTAGAATACCAAATTGCTACTTTAGATAAAGGTATTAGTAAGAAAGTTAAAAGGGCATTTGTAATAGAATTTGAATTATTTGTAGAGTTTGGTTGCAGCTTAGAAAGCTAAGGTTGGGGTTTTGAGCTACAGTAGAAAATCTAAAAATTTGTATATAGATGCTTGTTAATATGCAAGAAAGATTTTATAGTAAGGTTATTGGCTATTTGGTTAGAGTAGTAAACTCATGAATTGTATTTATAATTTCATGTGGGATAGGTCTGAAGAGAGTAAAGAAGATAGAGAGTTTGTGTAAAAAATAGTACATTTGAAAACTATCTAGATTAATAATTTGGTTATGTAGCTAATTAATTTGCATTAAGAAAATTTAGAGTTTGTTAAGGTTTAATATGTATTGTAGTAAATTCTAAATAAGTTTATAGAGAGGATTAGAAGTAGAACAGATAGCCAATAAAGTGAGATACTTGTTGATTGGCATATATGGCAAATATTAAAAAAACATGTGTCTTTTTTGTGTAGAATATGTGGTATTGGGAGTTCATCAGTGAGTAACTTAACTCTAAATATTTTAAATATAGAGAACTGAAAGCTATGGACTAAGTTAGAAACTTTTTGGTTGTTATTAATGTAGAGCCAGGTTAAATTTCAGTTGATAAAATATTTAACCATAGTTGAAAGTGGTTGTGAGATAATCAGAAAGCAAAGATTTTGCATAGCAGATAGTTTGAATGCTATAACAGATAGGAAGTTTAAGGGGTTGTTTATTATAATTTAATATATATAGAGAGTTGTAGATATTGTTGAGATTAAATTTAAGGTAGAGTGTATTGAGATAGTTGCAAGCAAGATTATCAGCCTTGTTGTTAAACTATTATTATGATGTGTTTTGACTTTATGAAAAGTGATTTTTAAATAGTAAGATTTAATAAAGTTATGAAGTGTATTTCAAATTGACCAGTAGAAAGTATTTAGAGGCTTAGAGTTATTTGTTAGCTAGGTTAGATTATTGTATTTAGCAATTACTGATTAAGAGTTTGTAAAAATTTAAATATTGCAATTTCTAGAAGTAATACAAATAGCTAATAAGATTGCAATTAGTTTAGTTTTAAAAGAACAAAGCCAGAGTGAGATTTGTGTCTAAAATGTATAGAGAATTCTGTTGTTTTCAACTTGTATTCAGCCAATACCTATAGAGTATTAAGAATTGTCTAAATTAATCAAAGATTCATCTGTATAAAATATAAGATGTAGGGAGTAAAAATTGAGAATTGTAATATGTTGAAGAATGTTAAGAACAGAATTATTTATAAAGATTGGAGAGATTTGAGAAGCAAGTATTAAGAAGTTTACAAGGACTAAGGTTTGAGTAGTATCTTTAAGTTTAATTAAATCTAAGAAATTAAGAGAGTTTGTAATAAATTAATAGATTTGTCTGAATTTAGTTTGCTCAAAAACTTGGTAGCATAACTAGTTAAAATAAAGAGAGTACATTTGTTATTGATAATATAAGAATTAAGAAAATAGTTAAAACATAGATTTGAGATAATATTAGAAATAAAGTATACTAAAGAGAAGGTAGTTGAAAGATTATATTGCCAATATATAATTAGTGTAAAGTCTGAGTTTGTGGATTAGCAGTGAGCTTTGCCAATAATAGCTTAGTTGTGAAAAAAAGTTAAGAACCAAGACTTGGAATATTTGTAAAAGTAACTTTACAGTAGCTATAATAGTTAGTTAATAATAGGTTAAGTTGTCTAGAGATAAGGTGGTTGTATAAAGAGTTAGTAATAGAATTTTTGAGAAATATAAACCATTAGAGAATTTTTTTTTTAGGAATTTTGTTGAGTCTTGAAGATATATGTTTCTAGTTTAGAAAATAAGAGTTGTTGATGAAAGTAGGCTAATCTAGAAAGAGAATATAGTGATGCCAAAGTTGCTTTTTAAAGGTAGAGTATTTAGAGTATACTGATAGTATAAATTCTAGTTTGATAGATTTTTTATAAATTGTGAAAGAGATATTTGTATCTGGACTTAAACTAATAGTCTAGTTTAGATATTGAAGAAGCTATATTATTTTAAAATTAGAAATAAGATGATTGGGGCTATAAATAATAGGGTTTGGGTGAGAAAGAATACTAGTAGCAGACTAGAGGTTATTTTGGAGTCTTTAAATTCTAATTTTGGTAGAATTTTACCTAGAAAAGATTTGTTATTGAGCTGTTTAATAAAGTTAAAAATATGGTGCTGAAGTTGAATATTCTAGATATTTTTAATATTGTATATATAAGGATATAGTAAAATTCTAGTAGATATAGTATAGCAAAGCTCAGCTTTGTGTTTGATAAGATTAATATGTTGTTGAAAGATTTTGTTACATAATGATTGATTAAGAACAATATTATATATTCTGTACTCAAGAGTAGAAATGATAATAGTATTTATAATGTAGTGAGCTTAAGTATCATTTATTTGTTTAATGCTAGCAATTTTGATAAATTAGAATAATTTAGCTAAGATAAGTTGAGTTTGTTTAGTGTATTTGTTATTAAGTATAAACCAGAATTTAAAAGGCTAATATATAGACCAGAGAGAAAGTATCACATTTTTAAAAATGATAGGATTATAGAAGTTAGGTTTGGTGTTAGAGAACAGGATAGATTTAGATAGATTGACTTGAATGTTTGCTATGTTGTAAAAGGGTTTAGCAATAGTAAAATTATTTGTTAGCTCTGTTTGGCTTAATGCAATTTACAAAGTATTATTCATATAGGCCAGAACAGAACAGTTAGTATCAAGTATGTTAAAAAAGTGGTTTTTAAGATTGGTTAACTATAATATTGAAGTTGTATAACTAGTAAAAGTAGAGTATGCATATGTAATGAGTGAGTTATAGTAAATATGCCAAAGCCAGAAAATAATAGTCTCTCTTTGATCAATACTATTTTAGACTTGGTATGGAGAAGTTAACTCAAAGTTGGTTATAACTTTATTATAGCGATTGCTAAGTAAATTAGTAAGAATATTAATAATAGTTTGGGGTAAAAAAAGGTGACAAAGAGAGTGTTTGAAGAGGTTGAAGTTAACTAAATCATAAACTTTGCTTATATCTTGCAATAATAGCCAAAGCTCTTTGTGATTACAGTTAGTATCTTTGATAAGATTATTAAAAATATGAATAGGATAGATATACTATTGCATGGTAGAGCAACATAGTTAAAGAGTAAAAAAATAGAATATTGAAAAAAGGTTTGGTTAAGTCTATTGGTTAAGATTTAGTGTATATTATTCTAACATGTTCAATGAGGCTAATTGGTCAAGTAAGGTTGAGGTTTCTTTTGAAGACATTATTTTTTAATATAGGTATATTCTGCCATATTTTTATAGCTTGAGTATTGTGTTTTGAGATAAAAAATAGTTAAAAAATATAGTAAAAGTAGTAATATAGTGCTAGTTTAGATGTTTAATCATTTTATAGCTAATACTGATAAGGATACAAGCATTGCTATTAGAAAGCTTGAAAATGGGTTAAAGAACTTCATTTTCAGTTATAAGTCTAGTGAGTGGTGTATACTATTCAGGATTAATATAAGAAAGTAGTTAGTATTGTTATTGCTAGAAGCTGTTAAAGATAGTTTGTCAACAGGTTTGTATACAGTTTAGTTTAAGAAGTGTGATTGAATATGTTGTTTGATTTTGGCAGGGTTAGTAATAAGCTAGAAGGAAGT